TAAGTAAGTATATTATTGCTATAAGACATCCCCTTTCCAAATTAAATAATTGAATAAATGTTGAATCAACTGTTTTTCAACATTTAATCAACGTTGATTATCAATGTTGATTCAATTTAAGAATTCAACGTTGATACATTTTTTTTTAAATGTAACGTAAAATCGATGTTGAATCAACATAGAAATACAACGTTGATTTAAAGTTTATTCAATGTTGTGTGCCTGCTGGAATACTGGATATACTGGTTCTCATGTGTAAAGAGAGGCTGGAAACTAATATTGGTAACTTTGTCGTAAGAAGGGGGAGCTGATAATAAAAATAACACTTTTTCAATGTTACGTAACATTACACGAAAGTGTCATTGTTACCATCACAACATATGATCAATAGGGCCAAAATAAAAAATACCTTTGTTTCCCCTAACGCGACCGACTCAATTTAATCGCGCCGACTGAAATTATTTTTGAAATAAGATGATTCAAAAATTATTTTTATTGTTAACAAGTTTTATAAAATACAATTTCATCAAAATCAGTTTTTATGAAAACGGCCGAAATTGTTCTACTGTGATTTTCAAGCAATTGTTGGAAACAAAATGGCATCCAGATGTGATTACAGAGAATTAGTTCTTCATAAAACAATGGCGACATCTCAATCTTATGCCTTTGGCTATTTAGAATTCTTCACTCTTGAAACTCTTAAGGTTCCGTAATACATGGCAAGGCCCATATCATGAGCAGACGATGGGCCCACCTAGTAAACACATCATTCAATTTCACTGCATTTTATATTTAATTTTTTGAATCTAATAACCAGTTCATCTATGTTCCTATGTTTACTATATGCCATTCTGGTCTATGGAGCCATAGGAGTTGTTGTAAATATGTCTGCATATTCATCCTGATAGATATAAATCAGATGTCCTTTCTTCATGCCTTTATGTATGAGTTAAACTTCGTGACTATTACATTGTATATAGCATTTTTTATCATTTGTAGATCTTCGGTTTGGTTCAATCAAATATTGTGTACATACTTTTTCCAAATAGTTTTGAAATCATGATTCAGCTTCCTGAGACGTCCAGTGTATTTTTCTTTGATTAGGCCCTTGAAGATTGGTTGTCTCTATGCTTTTAATGCCTTTGAGATTTGCTTGGACGACATTTTAACATTTCCTCATTGTTCCAAATTTAGACGTACTCGGCACTTTTTTGCCATAGAAGGGTCTTTTTTGAGACAGCATCTACTGCCACATTGGAAATATGTTTTATGGTTCTATTTGAAAGACCGTATTCAACATTCCTCATTGGGATTTGAACCTGCGACTTAAAATTAGCCACTTACTATAATCCAAAGCAAAATGCTCAAGAACCACCGCAAATCTCATGGCCCTCAAAAAAGTACATTGATTGTCCATAAGCACTAGAGGCTGATGGAAGGTTTGAAAAATATACTCGGATGTCCGGTCTTTGCGTACTTGAGAAACTTGTCTTTTTTATTTGATTTATATAAATGTACTATGGCGTGAGATATTCCACAATCCAACAACCAAGCTTTATGATAAACGTGATGACTTTAACTTTTCTATCGTCAACTTCCCTTACTTATGCAGCAATATACCTTTATCACCTGCATACGGAGTATATATATCTCAGTTGATTCGATACGCAAGAGCATGCTCTACGTATGAAGAATTTCTAAAACGAGGTAAATTATTGACAAGCAAGTTGATGAGACAAGAATCTCAGCAGTCTCGTTTAAAGTCATCATTTCATAGGTTCTATGGTCGATACAATGACCTTGTCAGCAAATACAATTTATCACTGAGTCAAATGCTGACTGACGTTTTTCATACCTATTGTTAGTCCATTATTTATACACTGAATTGACGACAGATTTTTTCCGTTATTGACTAAGAGCACACGGCGGGTGGGACCGGTCGGCAGGGGATGCTCACTGCTCCATGGCACCTGATCCCATCTCTGATGTTTCGGGGGTCTGTGTTTGCTCTGCTCATATGTTGTATTGTTTTATGGACTTTGAGATTGAATACTGTTCGTTATCCCCATACCCTTCTCTGAATATATAACAGTTTTGAATTAATAAATCATGAAATTTGCTTTTAAACGGTATATGTATGATACTTAGTATTTTGTTAACAGACCACTTTCTGTTAATTTTTGTACTTTTCTTATTTATTTATTTATGTTCGTATAAACGTAATTTTCCATTAAGTTTTAGAATGTACTTTCAAAGCTGCTGTCAGAAAAAAATTGTTTACCTACCTACCGACCCAACTTGAAAATTTAGGGTCGGGTTAGGGGAAACAAAGATATTTTTAATTCCGGCCTAGGCTAAGATAGATATACTCTTTAAATTACAGAAGAAAACATAATTTTATAATAATTTAGATGTATTGATTTTCGAAATGCAGAGTTTCCTGACCTCATGAAAAACAAAGCTCTTTTGCACATTTCTAACCGCAGGCATTCAATATGCACCTTATGTTTCCTTTATTAACTTACCCAATTTTAAATATCCATAAAACAGAATCTATTATAAAAATCTCTGAATTATGAGAGATAAACAAGGTTTGTGACATTCGAATTGATGATATGATACATCGTGTATGATTTATCACTCAGGAGTATTTATTTATTACCTAATATACATGTATTATATGAACTCGAATTATACCAGTGAACTTGAATTACCTGTAAAGACACCACAGACTTTGTTACACCTGTTTCATATCGTGTTGTGTATTACTGACTTTAGACGATAAAAGCCAATTACAAACTAAATTGGAAGACAAACGAGAAGACTTTTGTTTTCCATCTTCAACTTTCCTTATTTTCTTTTGTATTAACCCAGTATTATCGGCTTATAGTGTTTATGTTTCCAATTCATTTGTTACTCAAGAAGTGGCTCTATATGTAAGCATGATCAATTTTTAAAAACAATGTATGCTATTCATTTATGTTATGTTGAATTAATGGTACAGGGAGTTAAACAGTCTTGTTCAAAGTATTCATTTCGGAACTAATATGTTTCTTATAATGACCGTTTTAGCAAATACTCCAATATAACGTATCATTGTCTAATTTGTTGAACAGGTATACCAACTATATGAGGCCTTTGTAATTAAGGTAATTTTGACTAAACATCGTTCTGTCTAACATATGGAAATACATAGAGGGGGAATCACAGCGGGGTTGTGACCTGAACACAGAGGATGCTTACTCCTCTAATATACCTGATTCAACCTCTGGAAAGTCACGTGACTGTTTTACATGTAGCATTGTGTGGGTAATTGTATACCAATTATGATGGCTTTAATTTGACTATAAATCGTTCTGTCTACCGGATCAATACATAGGGGGTAATTCAGCAAGGCTGTGACCGATACACAGAGGATGTTTTCGCTTTCTAGGCAACCGATTCGACCTCTAGAGTTGCAGGTGACTGAGTTTTAAGTCCTTTGTTTATATTTGTTTTGTTTATACTAAATAGATATATTTAGATAGGCAACTCTTATTTGACTTAACTTTTCACATTATATAGCATGCAATGAAAACATTTCAAAAAAATATAATACGCCTCTAAACTTTGAAATGTATAGCAAATGGCAATTCTTCAATTAAACTGTTCATACATATTACACTATTAACTGACAACATAAGGGCTTATATATGGAAGAAAAACTTTATTCAAAATCCTGAATCAATATATAGGGGGAATCAAAGCGGGGTTGTGACCGGTACACACAGGATGTTTACGCTTCCTAGGCACCTGACTCTGCCTCTAGAATGTCAGGTGACTGTATTTTATGCACTCTGTTTATATTTGTTTTGTTTATACTAAATAGATATATTTAGATGGGCAACTCTTATTTGACTTAACATTTTACATTATATAGCCTGCAATCAAAAACATGTTTAAAAATATATTATGCCTCTAAACTTTGAAATGTAGCAAGTGGCATTTCTTCAATTACATGGGTTCATGGAATACTATATTAAACACTAGTTAACTAAATTCCTCGCAATTTCGGATGATTGATTTTATATTTACCACTTCCAAAAGTAAATATATTGTAGTTTCTACTGACAACCTACAGGCCTGAGATGGAGGGAATTCTTTTTTCAAAATCCTGCATAAATAAGTTGACACACTCTACCCCAATACCCCTTTTGTAAAAAAAAAATAAATTCCATAAGTTTGACGTTTATTGTTATTTTCTCACTTGTCTTGTAAAATATTATGACTTGAATATTGAAATGTCATTTCATTTCACACGAAAATAGCCCCGTTAGGATCCGGGTTAGAATAGGTCCTCAGTACCCCCTTGCTGGTCATAAAAGGCGACTAAATGGGGCAGTCCTTCGGATGAGACCGTATAAACCGAGGCCCCGTTTCACAGCAGGTGTGGCACGATAAAGATCTCCCTGCTCAAAGGCCTTAAGTGCCGAACATAGACCTAAATTTGCAGCCCTTCACCGGCAATGGTGACATCTCCATATCAGTGAAATATTCTGCAGAGGGACGTTAAACAGTATACAATTAATCAATCAATCAATCACACGAAAATATTATAAGTACTTTTTTACTTCGAAATTTCTAGATTATAGAACTGTTTTAATATTTTTTTATATACAAGAAAATTACATCTTTTTTTAAGTATTTAGAATAAGTGATAATTTTTGAAAGTGCAAGGATGTCTCAATTAAACCCATTCAGAATTTCGAAGTTTCAATAACTTATGAAATATGATTTAAAAAAAAAATATTTAGTGAAATGCTACTGCAATATATTGGGTAAATTGTAACATTAAAAACATAAGGAAATTTAAGAAAACATTAACATCAACTCCTCGTTTATGCACCTTTAACATGTATCGCTCTGTATAAATTTTAAATCCGCCACCTATTACCTGCACTCAACCCTTTAATGCTTGGTAAGCCATAAACATTTAAATCAATAAGTGCACTCTGTTTTGGAGGTGAGGTCACACGGGTAGCGTCCTGAAATTCTCAGTGTGTTGTACAATTTACTATCTGTTAGAAACATATGTAAAGTTATCTAAAATGGTACAATGAATGCTACTTTACAATATATTTGACTATAGAGAATCGAGTTAACAGATGTAAGTATCATTTAATTTTTTATCAAATATACATTTCCGGTAAAATTTCAACTTTCGTTTTAAAATCCTTTTTCATCGTAATCGTATCACGGAATACAGTGAATGCAAAGTAAAACGTCTATTCACGTAATTTTTTAATTTATTTCTTTTCATTTTGCAAAACAGGATTGTGGTAGTTGCAATTATATCGAGAATACAAAGGGAAACTTCGCAAGATATGGGGATGGGGGGGGCATGTTACGGAAGCGAGCAGGGAGTCGTGTATCTCTGCTGACTTTATCAGGCGTATCATTTCGTATCATTGGAATTTACTTTGCGTCGACATTTTTTTAATTGCCCTAAACAAAAGATTTAAAGAATTATTAAGAGTTAACATCCACTTCTCTCCGTTCGCAATCTGGTCAAGGTTAGAGATATGCATAACAATAGCCGTTGAAAAGACTACTCTAACATGTTGATGATAAAAATTGACACTAACATATCTTGGCATTAATTTGATTCCTGGTCAATTGAGCAAGATTATACAGAAACAATCCAGAAGAGGGTATGTACCCGGTTGAAACCACCTTTATGAAAAGCAAAATAAATAAATAAATAAATATACTCTTCAAAAAAAAAAAAAAATAAAAAACACATCGTAGAATTTTAGTGACAAATTGAACATAAAGATTATTAAGTAAATTGATGCATTGATAAAACAGAAATGTGGTAAGCAACAGGAATACCATCTAAATGTTGTAATCACTCAACAATTTTAAATTTATAGTCAGTTTAAGACCATTAAAGATTAATATCTGGTATGTCCCCTGCCGACACAAATGATAACCTCAAACGACATCTAATGGAAGAAAATGTGCGTAATAAAAACTGTACAGGAATACTCTCCGAGTCCAAATGTAGAACTTTTGTCAGCTGTTGCAGAGTCTGGGGATGCGATTGTCTTTGTCATATCATGTCAAACCATTTTGTCCAATGCTGCTTAATTTGGATCAAATCTAGCTATTTAGATGACTGTGACTGAAACAGGTTGTTGTTTCTTTGCAAAAATAGGTGTGACAAACGAGCCATATGTGGCTGTGTATTGTGGGATTGCAATACGGCTCTAAGATGCTGAAAAATTGAATAAGTGTGTGTAAGTAGAACATGGTTAGAGTACCTTTTCCCATCAAATTCCATTGCATTCGAACCAAATCAATCTTACTTTCTTATAATACAATTTTCCATATCATTACACTACCACTACCGACTTTTTTTAACTTCATGGACGCAGTTATCTATCTAACCGTCATTAAAAAGCATAAGAACTCTTAAACTTACAAGATGCTTTCAGATAAAATTTATGGACTAGTGGGTTAAACAAAATGTACAGCAGTGATGCTGTGGTCATCCTCTTTTCATCTGAGATCTTTGAAGTCGATATTTGGGGTGTTGCTGGGTCGGAACAAAGGCATTGATAATCCTCTTGCAATAATTCGTAGTCAACTGAAAACTGTCTTGTAAGATGATCTGTGTAGTTCGGGGATGGTTAATGCTTTAGATGACGTCCTTGCATTACATTCATGCAATTTACGTAATCCTCGGAAGTGATGCTGTGCTGCTGATGTCAAACGTAGTCATCCATATTTTTTGCGAACATTGGGTGTTCGATGTTAATGATTTGTTTTATAGGTTAGATATGGTCTGTGTGTAACATTAAAACCTCTTGCAATTGTAGATTGCAGTACACCTGCTTCCAGTTGCCAACTTTCCTTTTTGTGCAGCGCAACATTCAGATGCTGCAATTTTAGGAAGCGTGATTTTTTTCAGATAAAACCTGATTTAAACTCTTTTTGTCTGTACCACTTGTAGAATAGCTGTAAAGTTAACAATTGCATTAAAAAATCATTCATTTAACTCGAATACATCGTATCCATACAAAAAAAGGTATGACAAAACCATCACAAATTTTCAGGGCATTGTTCCTATAATGCGTTTCTTTTTTTTTGAAGAGTATATATAAATAAACAAAAAAATGTAAAACAAAAAAATAAAATAAAATAAATAAATAAAAAACCCACAGAAATACGTTACTTGCTTGACGCTTTTTCTTAGATATTTGCCTTTATTAATCGGAATTTATAACTATTGTCTGTTTTATCACAAGTGGAATATTTTTTTTTACATTTCTGTGAGTATATATCACTCATTATTTTAACATAGGCGCTGATGTTATATTGGCTCCACTTTGAAATTCTGCAACCAAATGAAAGCACATAAAATTGTAATTGATTTTCGAGGTGGTATATGAAATTCATCAAAACAGATGAATTTGCTTGCCTGTCATCCTCTGGAAATAAATCGGAAAATAAGAGAACTCAAGACTCCCCTTCACATTATAGTACAAAACAATGTAATGCTGCTTTTTGTGAAAAATTATATCTGTTAAGCAATACTGCATGTAAACAAACTTCTTATCAACAATTACAAATTACGTGTAGTTCATTGTCAACAAGCTCACTTTAGTCCATCATCAGCGTTTTTTTCAAATTAAAGGAACTTGTATTTCGTTTGTGTTTCATTTTATCATATAAAATATTTAAAAACTTATCACATATAATTATATATCAAACGTTCGATTTCAAACCATATTTCAAAGAGATGCTATGATGAAACACTAACTAAAAGTACAAGATTTATATAGAAATTAAAGGAAAATGGGTAATCCATTTGTAAACTCCAGCATTCATTTCAATAATACTGAAATAATCATAATAGCTTTAGATAAGATATAATACTTGTTAACAAATAAATATTTATAACAGAACACCATTCATTTGGATGATCAATATTTGATTTTATGTTAGATACATAACTCTGTGATTTTTTAAAGAAGCTTGATTGTATATTAACAAAAAATGTACCGTTCTTAAAGTAATACAAAATGTTGCAAAAGCAACGCTTAATGGTGTTTCTATTATAAAGCGATGTTTTAATAATTCACAGTTGCAGCAAATTTATTACATGTACTTATGATTTTACACTTTTAATGCGGTGTTTGAAATTTCAACAGTAAACGTGCAATTGGAGCGGACTCTTAAAGACATTTCAGCATGTCGTACGATGGGTTTGGATTTGTGGTGGATTCCTGTCCTTTAAGTCAGGAGAAGACAACTGAGGCGGCTACCAGACTGGGGTGTGGTGAAGATGAGAACGGACGGAGCCGTTATGTTTGTGTTCCAAATAAAAACCTCACAGCTTTATTAGAGTTCTGTTTTACGAAAACAATTGTTGGAATCTACGAGAAAGGTAAACCAATTCCTCAGACATATTTTGAGATTCTAAAGACATACACTGTTATATTACTATTTGTTTTTTTATGCTTGAGTCAAACATGTAGATTTTTTTTTACTTTGCTTTGATATCATAATGGGCAATGTATGTATCCTCTATCAGTTTGAATATAGTGGTCACTTTAACTTGTTTTTATTAGAATATGGTGGTTCATGGTTAATGTTATGGATGAGCGTTGTCATCCTTTAAATTTCTGGTTAAGATCCTAGAAGTTTCAGTGTTTAGTTGTACAAAGGTGTTAAGTGCAAATAAATTCCATTTTGTTCCTTAAACATATAAGCTGATACCTCAAGTTTATGACGTCGATCAAAATTATGATGTAAGTGTGATGTCATGTACATACATATATTAATTGTAGTATACTTCCAGATAATAATCATCACTCCAATATATATCATCAATTTCAGTAAAATTTCGAATTAAATAAGTTTTTTCCCCAAAAATTACGCTCAGCGTAAACGATAATCGGCTTTGCTGTGTGAATGATCAACGCATTTTATCAGCATCAACACAGAAATAGTCGTTTGTACAAACAATTCTTTTGGGGTACGAAGAAAAATACCATAGACCTTAAACGAAGGGACTACCGACTTATTACGTCACAATCACTATCTTCTTGCGATTGCAGCGCCCTCAACGGGATGGATAGAAACAAACTTCCTGTAATGAAATCACTATTGTCGCAGCATTAATTTTTGCATTCTTTAAGGAAATAACAACAAATTAGAGTAATCCATCACTTATCTACGCTTTCTTCCACTAAATGATCTCGATTTACTACTTTGGAAGTTATAACTTTACGCTGTGGAGTCGATGGAAACTTTTTAAATGCAGACATCAGCTGACCATGACGTGACATCTCTTGAATGCTGTGGATTTTATTTTACGGTAGTACATGATTATCTTCTTATTTATTTTACAAAATAATTACACAATTTATTATCTAACAGTATTTAAACAACGACAAATTCCAGATCTATGCTGAATTGATATAAATAAATACATCGTGAACTGTCGTTTACAGGTTTAGATCAACAACATAGTAGTCAGAAGTAGTCACAAAGCAAGTTTGGAGTCCGACGAAGAGGACCTTGACAGGACCTGTGTTGGAAAAATACCATAAGTAACCAAAAGTAAGTAAATAACTTAATAAATTGATATGTTCCCGTTATAATGAAATACACATGTATTTTTAAGAATTTAGTAATTACTCTTAAAGGTTTTATTATTTAATTAGTGTTAATCTAAGATTATAGCATAGTCATGATCAGTGATCAATAGAATTCCTAAGAGATTTTTTTCCCCCACAGGGTCTGTAGAAGGAGTCTGCCTTGCACAGTGATACAGTGACACCTATAGAAAATGTTCGAGAACACGTACCATTCCATGTACCATCTGGTATGATAAGTTAGATGTGACAAAACAATGACTGGTTACAAAACTGCAAAGGGAACAAAATTGGTGTCTCCTATCTATACATGGAGGAGATGCACATGACTGAATTGTTTGGACATGTTGGAAGTCCAATTTTTTCAACTATACCGTATACACAGAATGTGATTATTATTAACTTCTGTATACCATAACTCATATACAAACTGCATCAATATAAATATCAAATAATTTAATATGACTGGAATGAAATATTATTAAAATCATTATTATATATTAGACTTTTCCACTTTTTTATTGATTAAAAAAGTCATTCAACTTAAAGCAATGCTATTTGTCATTAATTATGCAAGGTTTAGAATTGTATATGAGAGTTATTTCTTTAAATTCGTAAAGGCGATTTTACAGTTTAATAAGTCATCTTTTTCTATAGTGAGCTTATATTTTGTGAGCACTGGTTTAGATGTATGGCATATTTAATGTCTTTTTAAAATAATTATTTCCAATGCAATTATAATCACAACAGCTAAGTACAAAAAAATAATCGCTGAGCAATGTGAGCATCATAATTCAGTCTTATCAACAGCTTTGAATAACAAACACTGCTAAGTTATTATTATATTATTTTTTTTTACATAAGTTCAATTGCCACTTTGATTAAACTGTTTGATCTTTTACCTACTGTGTAAATACAAGTTTTAATTGATGTAATGTCCATTGAAAATATTCATACTGAAATCATTATCTGTAATTCAATCTGACAGTTAACCATAAAGTGCTTACACTATGTTTATGTTTCTGAAACTAAAGCCAATATTGTTTATATTATTAAATGGAAAGCATGGGAAAGTTTTAGGAGGGGGGGGGGGGTCAGGATAGAACTTCTTTTAGTTCTAAATTTTTATCCCAACACTACCAATTATCCAAATTTTTTTTTGCTTAAACTATATAACGTGCCTGTTGAAAGTGGAGGGGGGGGTGCTAAACCCATGATCAATGTCTACGTTATGTATATCTTTGAAAATAAAAATGGCGTTGGAGCGCCCATGGCTTTGTCAAAGAATACCCCTGTTGGTTATAAATTTCTACCTCCCTACTCGTGTTACTGTACCATAATCATGATAGGGTGTCACGTACGTCAGGGACTTGTTGCGAACCATCGGAGTTCTCATAAATCAAAAGATCTTTGCTCTTCTTAAAAAATTCCACGCAATAAATAGGCCTTTTTGTTTCTTAAATAAATATGAACGTTTTTTTTTTCATCAAACAGCATCTTGAGTAGTCCGAAAAATCTGACGTTTTCCTGACTTTTTTAAGATTTTGATATTTTACATGCTAGGAAAACGTCAGAACCGGCGCAATTACGAAAACTGGAAATTTCGCCGTCTTCAACTGGAGTTGATTTTCGATACTTGTGAACCGAACTAAATGCCGAAATCAGAATTTATCAAAACAACAATGCCTCTAGTACTCACCAATATCGATGAAAAGAAAATATCACTATACATTTCGTACGAGGACATGCGAGATTTTAAAATGCACGAAATGAAGACAAATCTCGGCAGGGTGACAAAACCTTTTTCAACGGATTATTACATCTTTAGGAACCTTGCATGTAGTTTGACAACTCTGCCGACAAATTCTCTGTGATCATGTCAGAACATCAGTCATGTTTTAGTTTTCTTTAACACATTAAAGAAGAAGATAAATACCTCATAAACTGTTCAAGGAACTCTTTAGTGTATTAGTAAAAAAAAAATTGGTACATTAGGCAAAAGTTTAATTCATTCAATGCTATAATATCTCGACAATGTAGATGTGAATAGCGTTATCTATGTAATACCGGATGTTTTCTATGAATCCCGGTGAGGGCACTGCAATCGGAGGGAGATCGTATAGTGATATTTATTGTGACGTCATCGGAGTCGGCGGTCCCTTCGTTTTAGGTCTATGAAAATACTAATCATATAGCCTAATTGACCTAAGAAGGCGTGTACTATTTACTTCGAGCGCAGTTGTCACCATAGTCTCTGACGCAATACAAAACAGCACAATTAAACGATATTCATTACATGTACATATTCAAAGAATTTTTTTTTGCATTCGTTAATGTATCAAAAACCATTAATTGTATATTTTCTACTCAGGTCATTGTCTGAGATCGATAGGGAATGGATTTCTAGACCAGATTAGCTGTAGTGGCTTTACAGAGGGATGTCCAGATCAGTATTTCAGAAGCACAGACCTGTACAAATGTAAGGATATATAAAATTATTTTATCTACAAAATTAATATTTTAGTGCAGATTATATTACCCAAGGACATCAATGCATATAATTTTATGTATATATTTTTCTAAAAAAGATCCAGCTTGTCTTCATCTTAACCCAGAAGAAAGATGTTTTATTGCAGAGAGATCATGCAATGCGTGAGTTGTGATTCATTTATACTCCATATGCAAACTAAAATTGTTTTCTTGAAAGATTTATATAACTTTTTATTTTATCTTTGTTTCCTGAAAACCGATTGATTTGCTCTTCATTATCTTCATACAATCTTTTTCTACAGAAATGTAATTCTCCGAAAAGTTACATGTATATTGACAGACCGAAAGGTGACAGTGATACATTTAGAAAAAAAATGTACATTTATTGTATCAAAATAAGTTACGCTCGATTCTGAATTAATATCTGCAGACTTTAAACTAAAACTCACAAAAGCTTGCTTTCAGAACATTTTTAAACATCTATCAAATACCCTCGAAGTTTAAATATGCACATACAGTGTACCCCGTTGGACCGAATTATCATGCCAGCCAAAAAATCAGTAAAAAACAAATGTAATACTGTAAACCAACTTTAATAAAGTAAATTGCGGAATATAGTCGTCACGAATAAAAGTTGTTTTACAGTATTCGACTCTCTCAATTTCAGGCCAAAGAGGTTTTTTAACAATTGATTTTTTTTTTGGTAGAAATAGAAAAAGAATATGCAACATTATATTAAGGAACACGTGGTAATCAATATTTTCAGATGACAGTTTAAACAAATACGAAAACAGTGAACTTTTTTGTGTGCAATAAATATACAATTTTTCATTGGGTGGCACTGTGCTTTAATGGTCGTCTTTCTGATTTTTAAGACCATTTGCAATGAGCTACAAATCTGAAGCTAAAATTTAAATTGTGTTGATTAAAGGTCGAAAATAGTAGAAACATCGACAAATATACTGGGAGTCTTGAATATGACAACTGATTTCACTAGTTCTTTCAATACCACAAGAACGGCTGTACACGACGAATATCTAAACGTAGGAGTATTAGCTGGAATTGGAGCCACGGTTTCTCTTCTCTTCCTTATTGTCTTAGCCTGTGTCATTTTTAGATGCCGACGAAAACAAGGTAATTAAAACATTTGCATTAAAAAAAAATGTGTTTAAATTAATATTGTATATGAATAATATACTACATGTATTTTCGACGAGATATTTGTTTGTAGTTCATGGACCATCTTTAGAAAAGAAACAAAAATTTCTTTGCAGATTAATTAGAAATCTGGAGAGCATTTATTAACCATTGTTCTATGCAAATAATAGCATGATCTTAACAGAACTTGAACATCTCTTAGGAACACCATTTTTGACATTTTGAATATCGTACATTTAAGGTACATAATTAAAAGAAAATTGGAGACTATTTTAATTCATTCTGTCTGTATTCCTTTTTCATAGTGCTTTAATTTTGGTAAGAAATGAAAAGAATGCTTTAAATATTGTATCACTTTTTAATATGTATTCCAATGTTAAACTATGTTCAGTTATTGAAGTCCCATGCATCCTACCCCAAAGTATCATAATATCATCATATATGAATTAACTCTATCTGAGAATAATTCGACATGAATCCATCTTTCGTAACTGAGTGGTTCTGGATAAGATTTTGAAAAGATGCCATTATTTTCAAACTAATTTGTAATTATATCCTTTTGGAGGAAGGCCTTGATCATCATTTGAACAAAACTCAATTCCCATACCTTTAAAGGCACATTGACACCCTTTTAACAATTCCTAACTAAGGTAATTCTTAATATCAACATACAGTTGAACATCATTACTGTTTATGTTTATTTACAAGGGAGATACTGGTATAAAACATCGAATTCTTCATATTAATGTTAATAAGACCACCCCCCCCCTTTTTGTGTTTACATATACAAAAAATTAATATCTAAAGGAATAAAATCTTTAAAAATCTTGTTTTTGATGTACTGGAAAGTTATTTGCTATATTAGTATTTAAACATCCTCAAGTAAATTAAAATTCAAGCGCAGTCCACTGACCGACAGTAAACTTTTCAATACTGATTAGTGTTTTTTTTTTATTCTGAGCCAATGTGCTCAGGTCAGCGACGTGACCCATAGGCCTCTTTTTTCAATAGTATATAACGGATGCTTGAATTAGTATTATCAATACATAAGTATTATTTATACACAACAATTCCCCACGACAAATTAAAATCCAGGCTTTTTGATATCATTGACAGCTGCTTCTTCAATAAAAATGGATATCGTAAATTTACTTACCTCGTCTTTGGTAATTTGCAAATTTATTTTGTTAAAACAGATTCTGATTGCACACACAAGTACTCTGAAGTTGACATCAAGAAGATGCTTAAGTTTCTGATTGACAATATCTATGTAGATTTTGAAGACCAGGTATTCCAACAATCTATAGGAATTCCAATGGATACAAATTGCGGCCCATTATTAGCAGACTTATGCGTGAAAGGAAGAAAACACTTCCTGTGGCCTTCAACTCGACATTTAGATATGTCGACGACGCATTGTCAATTTATAATGATAATTTCCATTTCTAGGCGACACGATATATCCTGGTGAGCTTGAGATAAAAGATACCACAGAGTCCGACACCTCTGCCTCATATTTGGATATTTTACTTGTAAAAGACACTAATGGTAATCTAACAACCAAGCTATATGTTAACGTATTGACTTTAACTTTTCTATCGTCAACTTCCCTTACTTATGCAGCACTATACCTTCATCACCAGCATACGGTGTATATATATCTCAGTTGATTCGATACGCAAGAGCATGCTCTACGTATGAACAGTTACCTAAACGAGGTAAATTATTGACAAGCAAGTTGATGAAACAAGAATATCAGCAGTCTCGTTTTAAGGCATCATTTTGTAAGTTCTGTGGTCGATACAATGACCTTGTCAGCTAATACAATTTATCATTGAGTCAATTGCTGACTAACGTTTTTCATACCAATTGTTAGTCCATTATTGATACATTGATACACTGAATTGATGACGGATTGTTTCCGTTATTTCCTGATCATGACAACGAGCACAAGGCGGCAGGGGATGCTCATTCCTCCATAGCACCTAATCCCACCTCTGATATTTCGGAGGTCCGTGTTTGCTCTGCTCTTATTGTCCCTCGCTTTCGCGAAAGCGAGGGGACATTAAATCTCATTCGTGTGTCCGTCTGTCTGCATGTCCGTCCATCCGTCAGTCTGTACGTCCGTCACAAAAACTTTAACCTTGCGTATAACTTTTGATTAAGTGGAGCTATGACTTTCATATTTCATATGTATATTCCTTGTGACAAGACCTTTCTTTGGCTACCACCAAATTTGACCTTTTGACCTTGACCTTGGAGTTTGAACCACTTTTACACAACAAAAAACAAACTTTTATTTTGGCAATAACTTTTACTTTAATAACTTTAACTTTGATAGGTACTAGGACTTTCATATGTCACATATGTATTCTTTGTAGCAAGGACTTTTAATAGATACCAATAACTTTGACTTTTTACCTTCACCTTGGAGATTTCCATACTTATGAAAAAAACTTTAACTTTGACCATAAATTTTGAATGGTAAGGGCTAGGGCTTTCAAACTTAATATATATAATTCTTGTGAGAAGACCTTTCATTGAATACCAAGAACTTTGCCCCCTGAGCCTTGACCTTGAAGTTTGACCTATTATTCAAAACTTTGACCATGACCACAACTTTTGAACTGTAGATACCAGGACTTTCATATTTCGCATATGTATTCTTTGTTGCAAGACCTTCCATTTGATACCATTAACCTTAACTTGTTGACTTTGATCTTTTGTATTTATGAAAAACTTTAACCTTGACCATAACTATTGAATGGTAAGGTCTAGGGCTTTCATACTACACATATGAATTCCTTCTGAGAAGACTTTTCATTGGATAACAAGAACGTGAACCCTTTGACCTTGACCTAGATGGCTAATGATAGGGCGTTCATATTAGATACAAAATGTCATAAAAATTACCTCTCACCCAAAATGACACCGAAAGCGGGGGACCACAATTCTTTGACTTTGCTTGTTTTGTATATTGTTTAATGGACTTTGAGATTGAATACTGTTTGTTATCTCCGAATCCTTCTTCCCTAGGGTAGAATTAATTCCATGAATGTGTGTTTACATGTAATTATGCTTTTGTTTAAAACAAAGCGTTTTAGTGTGTAATTTTAGTAAGTAATTGGGTGAATGAATAAATAAAATTCGGGATTTTCATATAAACACTACGTACACACTAATCTAAAAATGTACTCAGAATATATCAATAAAGTAACCATAAAATGATTAATAAAGGAATCTATACACGAGGGTTGTTCGAAAAGTTCGTGGACGATGTCAGCCTTCGTTATACTACTTTCAAGAAATTTAAAATAAGCTCAATAACCTGTGTAAAAATATTTGTTTTGTTGATGTGTAAAGTTTCATTTCAATCGATTGAATAGAAATTAATTTACTTCATTTTAAAATCAACCTGTTTTGTACCAGCCGAGCATACTCAATATCGATGTAACGTCAAAACATAGCGTCAAGAATTTCTTTCAAATACTATCCTATACAATTCAACAATTAAGTTCAATAAATACTTATTAAAATCCTAATTCCTACACTTCTTTTTTCTAACAATTGTTCTCATTGTAAAATTTCCTTTGTCAATGTTTTAATTATTTTATTTAGCTCCGCTTTTACAAGATTAGCAACTCGCAAGCGCTATGTCTTTTCATGACGTTCCAAATTTTTAAAGTTTTTTATCAGTTTTTTGCTCACCTGAGCCGAAGGCTTAATTGAGCTTTTCTGATCTTTTGTCCCTCGTCCGTCAGTCCGTCCATCCGTCCGTCTGTCTGTCTGTCTGTCCGTCCGTCTGTCTGTGTGTTAACTTTTCACATGTTCAACTTCTTCTCCAGAACCACTTAGCCAATTTTGATCAAACTTGGTACAAAGCATCCTTGGGTAAATTTAAATTCTTAAAATGAAGGCCAAGTCCTCTCCCAAGGGGAGATAATCAAAAAAGGCATCCTTGGGTAGTGTAGATATTAAATTGTTAAAATCATGACCCCCAGGGTTTGGACAGGGCCACAATAGGGAATCCAAGTTTTACATAGAAATATATAGAACAAATACTTAAAAATCTCCTTCTCAAGAACCACTGGGCCAGGAAAGCTGACACTTATGTGGAAGCATCCTTGGGTAGTGTAGATATTAAATTGTTAAAATCATTACCGCCGGGGTTAGGGCGGGTCCACAATAGGGAATCCAAGTTTTACATAGAAATATATAGGACAATTCTTTAAAAATCTTCTTCTCAAGAACCACTCGGCCAGGAAAGCTAAAACTTATGTGAAAGCATCCTTGGGTATCATAAATATTAAATTGTTAAAATTATAACCCCCGGGGGTAGGGCGGGGCCATACTAGTGAATCCAAGTTTTACATAGAAATATATAGAACAAATCTTAAAATCTTCTCAAGAAGACTCGCCCAGGAAAGCTAAAACTTATGTGGAAGCATCCTGGGGTAGTGTAGATTTTAAAGTTTTAAAATCATAAAAGGGAAGGGGGTAGAGGAGTATGAGGGGGAATCTGGTAAAGAACTGCATCATCCAAGTTACTCAGGTGAGCAATGTGTCCCATGGACCTCTTGTTATTAAATAAACTGTGTCCTCACAGATTGTCCTCATCCGATACAGAGACTCTGTTGCTCAAATGCCGACTGTACCATTTAAAAACACACGCACGACGTAATTTCGACATAATTTTTGAGTTTTCAGAATTTTTCCGAATATAACACAAAATTCCATCCTCATCTGCTGTTTTGTGAAGTTCAAAAACATCCTCATTTTTGTCGCTTTCAATGAGTACTACGCATTTTCCCAAATTGATTTCATTTAAACTTATTAAAATTTTTAGCAAAAATTTGAAATGTGAATCAATGTTGCAGTCCTCAATTTCAAAGTTTAGGATTTTTTCCCGTTTTTGCTCCAATTTAATATGATTAGAATATGAGAGAAAATGATTACAGACATTGTCATATTTATTTCGTGTGTTGTTTGTCAATTACTAAATTTTTTACTTGCTCCTCGATCCGATTTTTGCAGTTTCAAATTCTGGATAGGTTTAAATTTAATCATGGCAATTTATTTTTTTATACGAATCATTTGGATTTATTTCTACCAAATTTGGTTATATGACGTTAATTAGAAAAAAGATATGACAGGAGTCCACGAATTTTTCGAAGAACTCTCGTATATCATGTTTCATTATAGTTATTTTAATTACTTTTTAGGAAAAACACCAGTATCTTTCAAATATCATACAGTGTAACAGTTATTTCTCAAATTTCCTATATTTGTTCGTCTTTTTTAATTACAGGATTAAAAAGGAAAAGTGTTTTTCGGTCTACTGCAAACTTTGAGATGGAATCTTTGCTCGATCTGGGTAAGAAGTTCATATCACAGTACATTGTATAAATAAAAATAAGATCAAGTGATGAAGAAGGCACAAAACTATTTGTATCTAGATACATTCGATTCAATGATATGAAAAAGCCTGGACTTTAATTTATCGTGGGGAATTGTTGTGTATAAATTAACTTTATTATATAGCTAATAAATAATCTCTAATAAAATACTACCAAAAATCTAGAGAATTTTAGCGTTGAATATCTTGACGTTTTATTGAACGCTAACTTTGTATTACGTATATGAGTATGCCCGAAACATTCCGAATACGAGTGTTCAATATCGAACGCCCCGTTGTAAACAAAAAAAGGTCGTCTGGTCAAATTCTCAGAGCTAAATTAAAGAAAGGATGTGGTATTAGGTAAGATGTGTTTATTTTCCACACTAAAATGAAATTATTTATTAAAATATAGTAGGTATTAGACACATTAAAACCTAAATAAGCAAATCATATCGCTCGGTAGGGTTATGGGAATGACGCGATATTGAATGCTAACAGAACAAACGTTACTTTGAATACCGATACTGAAAAAATCATTAATTTGACGGTTTTTTTTAGTTGGAATAACTATTATAAATTATGTGGAAATGTTTTAGCTATATAATAAAGGAGTTATTAAACTTATATCGGTGAATATTGGCACTCGTTGGCTATTCAAATGCACTCGCAAGCTCGTGCATTTGAACAGCCAACTCGTGCCAATATTCACCGATATAAGTTCAATAACCCTATAATATCCATTGGGTTTATTTTTTTCTTAAAATACATGACCTTTGATGAGGAGGATTCCACGTTGCAAGGGCTGGGCATCGGTGGTATCAATTAATTGTTTTTTGTTTTTAAATAGAGAGGTTTAGCAAGCTCACTTGTACGTGTACATGTACGTGTAAACTACAAGTTAGAATTACACGTACACGTTAACATTTTTTTCTTGTTTAGCAAAGTATAACCTGTACTTGTACGTTTTTAAACGTAATAGTGGTTTACAATTTGAAAACATCCAAAAAGCAATGATTTTAAATTTCTTAATACTTATATCACCATTTTTATTACCATTTTACATAAATGTATGCATGTACTGATGAGAAAAAGATTTTACAGATTTCTTATATTTTTTTCGGTCAAAGCTTGTTTCGAAAATCTAAATGTTGTGATTTTAACTCCCGATAAATTAATATTTTTCAATTACTCACGTACAATTATTTTATCAGTTATTTGCATTAAATATTCAGGTTTTAGAAAAACGCACACTTTTTGAAAAATAAGCAGTAGTTTAAGAATTATAAGCTGCAAGTTTGGACTTACGTGTACTTGGCAACCTACACGTAAACTGCGTAAAAGGATACGTGTAGAAATTCGTCATTAGCAAAAGTGATGACGTAATACAAAGATTTCTGGTGCTACACGTACACATACGCGTACACGTTGGTTTGCTAAACCTCTTTATTATTTAAATTTTCCCCTGTAAATAAAATTCTTAACACATCTTCTTTCGTCCATTTTTAATGAGTCATAAATTAATAAACTTACAATTTATTTGACCAGAGAAAAAATAAAAACACAAGGATGGATTTGTAATTAATTATATAAGACCAGATTAAAAATGGGGTGAAATAACCTAGGTAGGAGAGAGAAATGACCTTCCGTAAAGTGGTAGAAGAGAGAAATAACCTGGGAGAGAAAAAGTTTTAGAGAGAAATGACCTGAAACCCACAAAACAGTCGTCTATAAAAGTACTTTCATTAAACTATCGATAAATTGTTAGGATATTCTTAATCGTTATTTAATTATGTTAAGTTGCATCACAACTTCTAAATCTTTAAGAATTTTCTAATTTCTACATCATTGGTTGTGGATTGGTAACAGAGCTCAATATAGTATAATATCAACAGCTTTCAGTTTATTTTCTTAGATATTGCGAGACAAACTGTTGGAATTATAGATATCCGCCAAAAATGTTAGATTCGTTGTCTATATGTATGACCATGATAATTTAGTGTGAGTTGGTAATTGAATAAAAAGTATAGTTGAAAAAAAAAATCAGGGATCACTGCATCATAAAAATAAACTATAAACAACAATTTATTATCTAAATTTTAAAGAACATCTGGGTCTCTTAGACGATACATATTGTCCTTTCAAAGAAATTTTACGTAAAGAAATTTCGGGGTTATATAGTTTTGTCGTGTCAGTCTGTCTAACTGTATGCTTGTCTGTTTGTCCGCAAAAACTTTTACCTTGGCAATAACTTTTTATTTAGTGCAGCTTTTACTTCATATCTCACATGTTTATTCCTTGTGACAAGACCCTTCCTAGTGTCCCATCTACTTTTATCTTTCTACTTTAACCTTGGATTTTGACCCACTTTTGCACAGAAATTCCAAACTATTACATTTGAACCCTAGATAACAGGACTTTCCCACTTAAATTACGTATTTTTTACCTTTGAATGATACCAACAATTTTGACCTTTTGACCTTGTTCTCGGATAATTCCTTGCTAATAAAAAAAAAATTTGACCTTGACCATTTCTTTTGAACGGTCATGGCTAGTGCTTTCATACGTCACATTTGTAATTCTTGTGAAAAGACTCCCCTTTGCATATTAAGACCTTTGACCCTTTGACCTTGGAATTTGTTGTTCTTTTAAACAGGAAACCTTTACCATAACATTTGTAGGGTTAGGGATAGTGCTTTCATATTTTACATATTTAATCCTTGTGACAGGACCTTTCATTTGATATCAAAACGTTGACCCTTTGACCTTGACCTTATATTTTTTTTTAAATTTACCTTGGTTATAACTTTTGAAGGGTTGGTGCTAGGGCTTCCATACTTCAAATATGCATTTTTTGTGGCAAAACCTTTCATTGGATACCATTTTCCTTGACCTTTTAACATTGACCTTGGAGATTTCTGTACTTAAGAATAAAACGTTAATCTTGGCCTAGAATCATATTTCACAATTGTATTATTAATGAAAATACCCTACTTTGGATACAAATCACTACACATGCTGTCGTCCAGCGGTACATATCTTCGCCAGCTGTAAAGTTACACGTACATTTTTTGTCCTACGAAACCATTAGGCTTACCCTTAAAGAATACACTCTATTTATTAACAAACTTTCCCCACCCCCACACCCTACAAACAAACACAAACGCGAACCTGCACTTTTCTTGTTTGCTACACTTACATAATGAGAAAATTTACTGTTTTTTGATTTAAAAAAAATGAAATCAATATATGATGGAAAGAATAAGTATGTTTAATTTTCCTTTTGTCTCTTTTTTCTTCTTTTAGTTCCTTTTCTTGGTTTACTACTAAATTAAAGATTATTCTGAATTCAACTGACCAAAATGATTTTTTTCAATATTGCTCTATGTGGAGGCAAAATATTACAAGACAAAGTGTAATTATCCACAAATGATGTTAGAAAAATTATTCTTTTTTATTTGACTCGACGCAAATTATAATAAATCAAAACGTTACAGCCCTGAAAGTATATTTTTACATCTTAAGAATCCCAGTTTATTACATTTTCGTTGTTATTTTATTTTGAAAATTAAGGGATTTGTGATGATCTTCTGTCAGCGTCTCCTTTTTGTAGAGTGGGGGTATTATCTTTTTATAAAAAAAACATTCTCTTTCTCATTAATGTTTGGTCACCTGAAGAGAAAGGATGTTCCTCTTTGGGAGAATAGTTTACTGAAAAGATTTTAAATAAATTTTCTTTTTTCCATTTAAGATACTTTGAAGCATGAGAGAACCGGTACTTACAGTGTATGGAAAACCCCTATTTCAGGTAAACAATTAACTTTCTTAAGTTTATACGGACTGTGATATCATTGTTTAGTTAATACATATGCACTGTACGTCCAAGGGTGCTCCAGGAGTGCTCTTTCCTGAACATCTATAATTATATAATGTTCTACCAAATACTTTTTGAACAAACTTAAAGTAATTTATGATTATAAGAAGAGAATACCAGCTCAAATTCTGCATTGTGTGAATCTGAGCCTTACGAACGCTAATCATGTCGATACATAAAAGGATAAAGCTGATACAATCGTAGAATTCACAAGTTTTCCCCCGTAAATATATATATGTAGAAGATCTAACCTTCATAATCTGTGATTAAACGTAACATAGGCGTGCCTAATTTAAATAATAAAAAAATGATAATTTTCATCCCAGCTTCTATGCATTAATATAAGGGGAAGGCATGGGCACGATTATTGAAAAATGTAATCGATTAATAATCGATTACTTAGAGGAATTTAGTGTTATTGATTAATTACCGATTTTAGTCAGTTTTGTACTGTAATCGATTCAAATCGATTACTTTGGACAAAGTAATCAATTTAAAATCCATTACTTTTATTACCATTAGGCTTACCCTCAAAGAACACACTCTATTTATTAACAAACTTTCCCCACCCCCACACCCTACAAACAAACACAAACGCTAACCTGCACTTTTCTTGTTCGCTACACTTACATAATGAGAATATTTACTGTTTTTTAATTTAAAAAAAATGAAATCAATATATGATGGAAAGAATAAGTATGTTTAATTTTCCTTTTGTCTCTTTTTTCTTCTTTTAGTTCCTTTTCTTGGTTTACTACTAAATTAAAGATTATTCTGAATTCAACTGACCAAAATGATTTTTTTCAATATTGCTCTATGTGGAGGCAAAATATTACAAGACAAAGTGTAATTATCCACAAATGATGTTAGAAAAATTATTCTTTTTTATGAGACTCGACGCAAATTATAATAAATCAAAACGTTACAGCCCTGAAAGTATATTTTTACATCTGAAGAATCCCAGTTTATTTCATTTTCGTTAAGTATATTTTTACATCTAAAGAATCCCAGTTTATTACATTTTCGTTGTTATTTGATTTTGAAAATTAAGGGATTTGTGATGATCTTCTGTGCAGTGTCTTCTTTTTGGAGAGTGGGGGTATTATCTTTTTATTAAAAAACATTCTCTTTCTCATTAATGTTTGGTCACCTGAAGAGAAAGGATGTTCCTCTTTAGTAGAATAGTTTACTGAAAAGATTTTAAATAAATTTTCTTTTTTCCATTTAAGATACTTTGAAGCATGTGAGAACCGGTCCTT